TGCCATTATTTTTTTACATCAGTGAATAAGCTTACCTCTGACTTCTCATACTTCCAGCCTCAAAAGTCTCCTATTCATGTAAGGAACAAATAGATAATCTTGTTTTCTTCATACGGTGTGTCTTCCTGGTTTTGTTCCAACGTGGATCTTGTATTCATTATTAATGTTGTAGAAATAAAACACGCAGCTGTTCATAACAAGAAGAAAATGATATTTTAGGAGTAAAAGATACCAAAGGGGGTTTGTATTCTCTGTTCTTTCCAATCCTAGCCTCCTTTCATCCTCAGGATGAGAATACAGGCAATTTGACTATTTACAGCCTTTCCTTTTTGAAGTACAGGCTGTTAAACTTCTTCCTAGTTGAAGCCTTAAGAAGTCCTTCCTTGCAGTTCTCTTGATGCTGACTCTCTTTATGGAACCAACCTGCTAATGAAAAGAAAGTCCTACGTTCCTCATCACTCCCTGGAAGCTAGTGAATGAAACTGATGTGAATATTCAGATATTTAACCAGCCTGCACTCTCTAACCTTTAACTTTTGCACACGGTTTGGATGGGTGCACGCTCCGCTGGGTGAAACACTGTCAGGATGACTGGGCCCAAAGTGTTGTGGTCAGTGGACTTAAATCTAGTTGGCAGCCGGTTGCAAGCTGTGTCCCCCAGGGCTCAGTGCTGGGCAGCTTCTATTTAACATCTTTATTAATGATCTTGACGAGGGGATTGAGTGCACCCTCAGTAAGTTCGCAGATGACACCAAGTTGGGAGGGAGTGCTGATCTGCCTGAGAGGAAAAAGGCACTACAGAGGAACCTGGATAGACTGGATCAATGGGCCAAGGTTAACTGTATGAGTTTCAATAGGGCCAAAAGTCAGGTCTTGCACTTTGGTCACAACAACCCTACGCAACCCCAGGCTTGGGGAAGAGTGGCTGGGAAGTTGCCTGATGGAAAGGGACCTTGGTGTACTGATGGGCAGTCAGCTGAATATGAGCCAGCAGTGTGCCCAGGTGGCCAAGAAGGCCAATGGCATTGTATCAGGAGTGATGTGGTGAGCAGGACTAGAGAAGTCATCCTGTCCCTGTACTTGGCACTGGTGAGGCCTCACCTCAAGCACTGTGTTCAATTTGGGGCACCTGAGTACAGAAAGGACATGGAGGTGCTGGAGCAGGTCCAAAGAAGGGCAACAAGGCTTGTGAAGGGCTTGGAGAATGTGCCCTACGAGGAGAGACTGAAGGAACAGGGGCTGTTTAGTTGGAAGAAAAGCAGGCCGAAGGGAGACCTTATTGCTCTCTTCCAATACCTGAAAGGTGCTTACAGCAAGAGCAAGGTTGGTCTCTTCTCAGTGGTGACAGGACGAGGGGAAATGGCTTCAAGTTCTCCAGGATAAGTTTAGGTTGGATACCAAGAAAACTTCTTTACAGAAAGGGTTGTTAAGCAGTGGAATAGGCTCCCCAGGAAGGCGGTTGAGTCACCATCCCTAGATGCATTTAAAACCCATTTGGATGTGGTGCTCACGGATATGATTTAGTGGAGGGATGTTAGAGTTAGGGTAGGATGGTTATGTTGTGGTTGGACTTGATGATCTTTAAGGTCTCTTCCAACCTGAGCAATTCTGTGATTCTCTAACGCTAAATGCCAAAGCTCTCATAGTTTCATAGCTATGGCATCATGAACTGCAGCCTTTTAATAAGCTGCTCTATTGATTCTGTTTCTCTCATAGACAAAGTCAGCCCTGGTCTAATGATCCAGCAGTTCTTTTGGTGACACCTGTTCTCAGTCTTACCCAATGTGTTGAACTCTGAAATATCTGCTTCCCATCATATCAAATAGAAGGTCTGGCATTTTAATGAGTGTATCATAGCGAGACTAGAGAAAGCTTAATGAAATCCATGCTGGGATATTTCATTATCCTACAGGCAATAAAGCCACCAAAACAAAGCCATTCATTATCTTTCCTATTAAGGAAGAAAACAAGCAATCTGTATCATTTAGATTATATTATTGTCCTCCCTGGTCAAAAATAATAGTGCCATAAAGATCATGAAAAAAAGCAATGTATATTATTCGGTTGTTTGTTTCCACAGTAGGAAATCAGTATTTTAAAAGTAAGAATAAGCTTGAGGGCTCAACTGCATTAAAATTGTCTATTTTACAGCTCATTGCATTGTTAAGTAACATTGCAGTGCAATTTGGGCTGTGGGATATAGTTTTACAAAAGGGTAGACATAGCACTTGCAAATTTCTTTTAATGTCCCATTCCCCCAAATAACACGTTACATAGAACCAAGTTCAATGTTTGGATTTTTAAATCTTCGCTAAATGGTAATGACTATGAGCACTCACAGCAGCAGGCAGCTTCTGGACCCTAATCCTGAAAATGTAATTGTTTCAGAAGTGCTGTATTAAACACTTCGGAACTGCTTGTCTCTGTTTTCTGTCTTGTTAGAACAGCTTATAATCTCCTCGTGATCCTAGTAAGAGATTTGGTGCATTTGGGTATTCCTCCAAACTCTGTGGTAACAGGCTGGAAATAATTAGGTAAAATGCTCTGTTATTGCCATAACACCCCAGAGAGCCAGGTAAGCACCTCCTCTAGCCAAGTGGCTGCCAGGCACTACCTGAAGCCCTACCTACCAGAGAGGTCTGGCCATATCCAGCAAGGGAATACTGTAGCTGGCCATCAGACCCTAAGGTGAAAATGTCTGATCTGAGAAGGATAGCTCTCAGCTTCCTATGCTTAAAATGGAAGGAATGGGGACCTTTACCACAGCAGAATCCCTGCTGTCTGCAAGCAGAAGGCACTTAGTTTAGACATTGTGTTTAGTGATGATTCCACCAGAATTAGTCCAAGGCAGCTGTGGTCTAGATCGGAGTAGGTTCGTGTAGGGTTTTGATTCAGCCAGGTTAGGATTTTGATTCTAGGAAATGCATTTTCACAGTTTCCGTAGTGCTTTTATTTCAGTAAAACCAAAATGAGATTCCAGTTGCCTTGGCTGTGGGAAGTAATCTGAAGCCAAAACAAGTGGTTTAGAGGCACCAGTTGAAATCAGATGAGGATGCAGAAGAACAAGTCATGATAATGCCCAGCTCTAGAGTGAGGTCTCCTACAAATTAATGACAAAAAAAAGGTGGTAGTAAAGACAGACTGTGAAAGCAATTAAGTTCCAGGTTCCCCCACCAAGGGTTTTCCCAGCACACATAATTTTTTTTAAGAAGTTCACTTGTAACAAGATTTCTTATTTAGTAAAATAAATAAAAATCATGAATAAAACATTTTTCATTTTGTGAGGGAAGGGGAAATTTTGGATTACATTCCATGTTTTTAATAAAAAAAAACTTCATTATTGAATAGTTATTTCTTCAGGCAACTAGAATGATTATTCAATGGTAGCATTTCAGTTCTATATCATTAAATAGACTAAAAAGATAAAAAGGCATCCTCCAAAGTTGAACTTTTCAGATTCACCATTACACCATTACAATATTTAATTGTAGGTCATTGGCAGAACATCTTTTGTAGCAATTTGGCTTTAAAGCAGTGAAGTTCTTAATGCCACTGTAACATAAATTTTCCATGCCATTTTCAGATTAGCTGAAAGCAGAGGACAAAATATTGCCTTTGGGTACATTAATGTAAGTTGCACAGACAGATGAACTTAATTTAGTGTTTCAAGTTATAAACTCTCATTCAAATACATAAGAGCTATATCTGACTCTTAAGCTGGTGTCTAAAATATATCTCAGTTTAGGTCATAACGCATGAAACTATAATCTGTATTAAATTAGTATTTGCTGAGATGAAAAAATTTATATAGTACTTATCAGACACAGTGCTTTCCAAAGGACATCCATCTGGGTGAACTGAAGCGTGTGCTAACAAATTCACTTACTTAAGGTCATGCTGTGAGGAATAAGACCAAGTCTCTCAAGTCTCCCAAGACTCTAATAAGAAGGTAACTTCTCCAGAATCTAAACCAGATATGATTATGCGTGATCACACTTCTATCCTAGAAACCACAATTCTAGTCAGAGATCACAGAATCACAGAATTGTAGGGGTTGGAAGGGACCTCCAGGGATCATCGAGTCCAACCCCTTGTCAACTTGTCAACCTTCACCACTCAGTTCTTCTCTGGTCATCCGAACAACATCCTAGACAACGTTTGTGTTTTCCTCTTTCTAATCTTTGATACAATAAATGCAAACAAGAAGAAAAGCAGGACTTTTAGCAGATCTTCCTTTGTTTTTATTCCAGGCTTGGTATTCAATAATGCTCTGTACCAGCCCTGCTACTGGCAGAAGGCCAGCAATGAAACTTGAAATCAAAGGGAGACAAAGTATTTCATGTTCCCTATTAAATACCTCTGGATATAGCCCAGAATTTTTTTAAAAAGCCCTTCTTAAGAAGTATATATATATAGATGACAACAGAATTGATTGTCATTTTACCCAAAAAGGTAATTTTTATTTTTATTTTTAATATTTTAACAGAAAGTTGATACAGTATCTACTGCAAATATTAGGTCATTAGATGATAAGAAATACTCACTGACTCATTGACTTGACTTTATTACTAAGTAATAAAACTTCAATAACCTTTGTTTAACGCTAAATAAAAACTGCATATAAAAAGATGTTTTTTAAAAAGATATATCTGAAACTGAATAGCCATGGCAATAGAGCAGAACACGTTCAGGATGACTACTAGATTCATAGATAATATGGACAAAATGGTATAATTGTCTTCATTGTGTATGGTAGTTTCAGAAAGCAATATCACTAAGAAGAGATGGGAACCATTTGAGAAACATAGAAGAAAGCATAACAGGCATCTAGTTGTTGATTCATCAAAGAGGACGTAAAACTAATTTCAGAGTAAATAATAGCTAAAAACCCCGGGTTAACATAAATTCGTATATATACACATACATACACACACACACACACACACACACACACACTGAGATGGTCAAAGATATGGAATGAGAAAGAAAACCCTGTAAGAATATTTTGCCAGAAGCAATGTTTATTTGCCAAACACAAGGGCTTTTTCCTTTAAAATTCTCTTCAGGAGTCTCACAATCAGTGATGGTGTGAGCTGAGATACCCAAAGTGCAAGACATGAGATGAAGTAAAAAGATGGCACAAAATGCAGCGTTAAGAGTTTCCTAAAAAGTAAAGATCCTTTGAGACAAATGTTTGAAAACTCAGTTTCAGAAATGAAAGATGTTCTGGTCTTTCCGTATAAAGACTCACTTCACCTTATCATCCCAAAGTTAGAACATCCATACTGTTGAAAAAGTTATGGGCAAAATTCAGTGGTAGATACTTAGTGTATAATCAATGAATATTAAGATGTTATAATGCTTTCTCTCTCTAAGTTTTCAAAGCATCAACAAACGTGAACGAGAGTGACAGCGAGCAAAACATCTGGTATTAGCAGCAGACAACACCTGTTCTTTTATCAGGTTCATGCTGCCAAACACTGCATTCAGTATAGCCAGAATTTTATACACAGTAGATACAAAAAAGACAAATTAACACCCTTGCAAATTAAGGCTCATCAGCATATAAAATCAAAGCAAGCAAGCAGACTGTATCACAGCTTTTTATCTCTTACACATTCACATATTCCTCTACGGGAATGATGACCAACAGTTGTTGAAAGTACCACCTTAGGAAAAGCAATCTGAGAAAACAGCCACTGGCCATTCTATTTTGTATCTGCATTTTTACTTTACACAGTTATATTTTCAGTTATGCTGAGGGTCTTGGTCAAACTTTTACATTTGCATCACAGCAACACTAAGTGGAAGAGCGCATAAACACCGACTGTCTGTGTTGTACAATTCCTCTAACCTGCCCCACTAATGTCCTGCCAAAAGTTTCACATCAACCCCAGGATTTAATCTACACAATTTTCAATTTAATAAGCAGTCATGTCTTCATTTCATACAGAACTCAGAGCTTCTTTACTGTATGTATGTACTGTATGTACTGTATTATTTGAGTAAAAAGGACTTACCACAGGTATAATCTCATCCCTAATTCAGTTACTTATGCCAGCAGCAAATCTTCTAATTCATACCCCTCAAGAGGTCTTACTCTCCTGCTCACAGCACTGTGCTGTCATTGGACTTCATGTGAGCAGGAGATCTTCATGTCTTCAGTTGGTCAGAGAGCAATGTTTGTTGGTCAAGTGGTTTTATTTCTTAAAGTTTGGGTAAATGTGAATGAATGTGCTCCTGAAGAGTGAAATCATAGAATCGCTAATGTTGGAAAAGCCCTCTAAGATCATATAGCCCAACCACTAAGCCATCACTCCATGCCCACTAACCACGTTCCTCATGGTTCTTGAACACCTCCAGGGATGGTGACATCACCACCTCCCTGGGCAGCCTGTGCCACTGCCACACCACTCTTTCTGAGCAGAAGTTTTTCCAAATATCCAACCTGAAGTCTTTGTGAGGCAATAACAACATCAGCAGTAAGATAGGAAAAACCTTCCAATGCAATGTACAGAGAAATAATTCTGAACTTCAAACCTGCTTTACGCTCAACTGACTAAATTTTGTTAGACATCATATTATGCTCCCAAGACTAATACAAGGAAAGTATATTAGCCAGCCATAAGCCTTCGAAGTTAATGTCTGACTGTTCAAAACTTACTCAAATTTCTCAGATCGTGCTTTTCCAGGTAGCAATTGTGGAGGGATTACTCTGGGGAAAGTTTTTTTGTTGTTGTTGTTTTGTTTTTATGTTTACAAGCTTCCTTCAATCCCTTTTGGAAAAAGAAAAAAAAAAAAAAAAAAACTAAATTAAAATTCTGGGTAGGACAGATAAATGAGTGAGTTGCATAGCCAGCAGAGAAAAAGCTAATAAGCATTTCTCAGCCTGAGGTTGGCACCAGCAAAAGCCTGAACACTCAGCCTGAAGTTGGCACAGTTACGAACCAGCAGGAATAATAACTGGACAGACAAAGTAGCAGTGTAGCAAGTTCCAAGCATTAGAAGGTAAAAAAGAGATGCTGTCACTTCTTCCTGTTGAATCTTCACCATTCTAGAGAAAAGGATCCAAGGCTCACTTGGCTAAAAAGTAGAAGCAAAACAGATTCTTTAACCTACTTCTTATGGCACAAGATTAACAAAGGGGGAGTCTTGTGCTCTGGGGCTCCTTTGTAAAAGGTTGCTTTTGTATTTTGTTCAACAACTACTTAAAATATATGCACACCTGGGCTCAGGTTCTCTTGGTTTCAAGGACACTGGAACAGGTTGCCCAAGGAGGCTGTGGATGCCCCATCCCTGGAGGCATTCGAGGCCAGGCTGGATGTGGCTCTGGGCAGCCTGGTCTGGTGGTTGGCGACCCTGCACATAGCTGGGGGGTTGAAACTAGATGATCATCATGATCATTTTCAATCCAGGCCATTCTGTGATTCTACCTATCTGTTGCCTAACCTGCAGAATCACATACTTACTGTTTCTCTGACAACGGAATGGTGTTTTTCTGCAGACAGCTCCAACATCAATAAGACCACAAGGGATACTGGCTTTTAGAAATAGTGTTAACCTTGTTGAGTGGGCAGCCTCCAAAGGAGGGGAAGTCTTGCTGCTTCTGAAACTCAGGAAAAGATTGGCCAGGAGTTCCCAGTCTCCTGGGAAATGGGTTATAATTTCCAGTCAGTCTCACCTCTATGACTGGTAAGGTCAGCTTACAGGAAGATCTGCTGTGAGATAATAGTGACTAATTACCATTTTGGCACCTACACATCATGAAATGGATTCATCCAACCACATATATCTGAGACATTTGGGCCAAGTTCTTCTTTATGGTTCATGACAAGAAAAAAAGAAATATCCACAGGTAATTCCTCTGATTTGCTAAGGATGATTGAAAAGTGCCTGCTGTTTGCTAGCAATTATAAAAGAAGCCTGTGGTAAGTAGCTCAAATATAGACATTGACATTTTGCTAAATTGATACTGTACAGGTGCTTAGATGAGCATGGTTCAGCCATTTTAATACAATGGTAGTGGAACTGCATTTTACATCATGTACTACCGCTTAAGCAGGACACTTACCAGGCTCAAAGGGGGCTCAGATCAGGCCATCCAGCGTAACCTCAGCACCGTGCTATCTGGTTTATGATCTCATGTGGGAACACTGTCCCAGCAACTCAAATCAGGATGGCTGTATGGAACTTTATGAGAGCTTTCAGCAAAATAAATGATGACACAAAGTGAATTTAGTCACAGTTTGAAGTGGTCAATCCTGCCCACAAGTGCTCCATAAATGTTTGGTTTGGAGTTTACTTCAGAACGGATACAGCCAGATCTTTCAACACACATTCAGGATGACAGCTTCTGGTTCAATTAATGTGCTTCCAGTAGCTGGTATAAGTGTGCTGACATCCACATCAGCATTGTCTGAAGATTTCACATGTAGAAGTCTTGTTTCTGTTCCACCTCATGGCATTCTTCAATGGCACTGCTGCCTCCCTGCTGTGAGTTGAGCTGATGCCTGGTGGCTTTTCACACTTGCTTCAATGAGAAGAGGGCAGGAAAAGAAAGAAGCTGAAAAAACTGTTCTGAGCATCAGTAACAATGCCTTGAAGTACCTGATACCCAACCTCTGACATCTTTTCCCTCACAAACAGGCAGTATATCTGGGCAGCTAAAGAAAGACCAGTGAAACACAGGTTACCTGCTTAACAGGACATGGGACTTAGTGACATGGAAAAGATCAGCGTACTCACTGCTTTATTTGTCTTGGGTCTCCACTGGCATGCTGTGCTCTCAGGCCTCCCAAATCCTTGCATTTAATGGCCACGTTTGCTGGAGTGAATAATAATCATTGCAGCTGGAATTGGCCATAATGACATAGCATGTTGCTTAATGTAAGCTATGGGCTGATGGGATGTTTCTGGATGTGTTTTCCCAGTAGTCCTCTCTGAACCCAGGTATGGGGAATTCCAGAGCAAGGCGAGATAACCCTCCCTATCCTTCAGTATAAAGAATCAAAGGCTGAGAAATCCAGATTGGCTCAGCACTATGCTCCCACTTGAATATTTCTGGAAGCTCTTTGTAACAGGTGCCCACCTGCCAGGCCAACCCTGATGCTGGTTTTTAAGGATGTTTCCTTCATTTTTAAAACATAATGAAACCTTGTTTGCCAGTCATCTCAAACCCAATAGTCACTGAGATGACCAAGAAACTTATCTGTGGTACATAGTTGTGACCAGTGTTGTTTGCTTTAGTTCCTCCAAAAAAAAGTGAGATCTAGTGCACAAAAACTGCTGTCAGGAACCAATCGTACATAGTACATGGAAAGCATTTGCTTCAAAACTGCACTATTTCTCCAATTGCTAATTTAGACATAGACAATGAGGAGCATGTTCCAAACTTGAACTAAATGACATCTGAGCTCAGATATTTTAATTCTCAAAGAACTCTGTGAAATAAGTTTATTGAAGCTACTATTTGCTGATGTTATGGTATGCAGAACTTAGAGCAACCCATCCTAACTATTCCTTTAAATAGACTGAGCTTTAGACTACACTTTAATCTAAGACTCAAGTCAGTTCTTAGATTATCCAAATCATATTACTGTTAAACTTCACCAGCAGCTTCCAAAATTTACAGTTCTTTAATTATTAACCAGACAGCCCACAGAGGTAAGAAAGACAGACTTAACTTTCCAGCAGCATTCTTGAAACACAGAATTGTTATCTCCATTTCAGGTAAAGCTAGTTTTCCAGTCTCTGATTCAAATCTGTGAAAGTGTGTTACTAGAAGGCTGATAACAAATAGCAACAAATTTCCTCATCTAAGAATGTTATGAGAAGAGACAATATTTCAAACAAAAGATCAAAGTTTAAAGATTAAAGTATACAGTTTAACAGACATTACTCTAGCAGCTGGTCAGCTAGGTTAGACCAGGATGTTAGATCCTACAATCCACGAGGAATTTTAAGGATCAGGGAAACAGTATTGAAGATAAGTCACTTATATGTGAATAAAGAACAGAACTAGTCCACCACAGTGGACTTCATAAAAAATTAAAATTAAATAAAAAAAAAAATTTTAAAAAAAAAAAAAAAAAGCCATACTGGTAAGAGCAAAAAGAACCAGCCAGAGACTGAAAAAAATCAACATTCCTGAAATTATTTAAGAATGAACTTTCAACTGAGACCTATATAGAAATTTTCTTTGGCTAGCTAATAGATGCTTATGTAAATATTCCAAGTCATCATAAGAGAATGTCACAAATACACAAACCTTCCTACTCTCAAGCTCATCAACAGTCTCATGAAGGCAATTCGGTGTCACCTGCAAATTTACTGAAAGTGTGCTCAATCCATTCATCTAGATCACTGTGAAAAACATGAAATAAAACTAGCCCTAATACTGAGCTTTGAGAAACATCCCTGGTGACTGGCAGCCAACTAGGATGAACTTAATTCACTGTCATTATTTCAGACCTATCAGTTATTCAGTCAGTTCTTCACTCAGTGAACCATACACCTATCTAAGCTAGGAACAGACAGCATCTCCAGGAGAATTCCATGGGAAGCAGTGTCAAATGGTTTACATTTAAAATGCTATTTTAAAACACAGATAGAAGATATTCACAGCTTTTTCCTCATTTCTTAAGTAGATGATCTTCTCATAGATCAATTTATTCAGGTAGGACCTGCCTTTCATAAACCCATACTGGCTGCATCTGGTCACTTAATTCCTTTGGTTTTAGTCCTTAATTCATTTACTTCTGTAAGCACATTCTGATCAACAATTCAGATACAGAAGAATGCTGGAAAAGTCTACTCAGCAACAAAACCCCAATCAAAGTGAAAAATAGTATGTTCATTCAATTCACTTGAAGACTGCTCACTGAGAAGATGCATGAAAACCTTTAACAAGGTAGCAGCTATATCAACAGCAAGGACAGGGTGAACTAGTAAGAGGAAAAGTTTATCTGGAAGCCTTCACAGAGCTTGCTGCTATGGATTCGCTGTTACCAAGAAAAAAAAAGCACGGTTATGAATGAAGTGCTGAGGCACAAAAGTATAACGGGATTTTCACGTAGATGCTCAAGTGAAGAACTCTCCTTCAAATAACGTACAAGAATCACGTGTTACTCAATCCTAGGTATAGAAAGGATTATATTGCTTCTTTGTTCCTTTGTCATGTTGCAGTGAGTTTCCCTAGGATACTGGAGGAGATCAAACTCTCTCCCAGAGCAGACTGTTATTCTGACTTCCTCCTCAGTTCCCTTTACTCCCTCTGCCAGCAAATTTCAGCCACATCACGTTACACACACTACTACACATACTGTTATAGAGAAGTAGGGGAAAATGAGCTTCACTCAGTCCCATATAGGTTTCTACTGACCCAGTTCTTTTCTGTGCTGCTCTGGATTCACTACCAACTATAGCCAAGCTGACTCACAAGTCCTACACACTGTTACTATACTCCATACTGTCATCATGACATACACAGTTCGAGGAGAACATTTCATTTGCTTTGCTATCTTAACCATAACATTGCCCCCATAAGGAGGTTAGCTCAGACTGGTAACTTGCCTTCTGCTTTGACGCAAAATGTCTTTTAACCTGCTTGTACATGTTCTTGCACAGAAAGCACCCCCTACTTTCAAGCTGCCCACTGTTTTCCTGAAACAGCAGGGCTCAGGTGCCTGCAGAAGAATTTAGGAGAATCAACCCAAGTTGAATGCCAGGTGATAGATAGGAAGCCCTCTTTGGTACCACACTGTAATCAACGAAGTCATACCTGTGTAATAGGAGTACTGTGCGCTTTATGAGGCTTCAGACAAACAGCAGGCTAATGCAGAAACTGGACCACATCTCTGCAAATATTCCCTCAGGAGAAATAGTCTGATTGGTCAAATAAATGTTCCACAGTGTCATAGGAAAACTAAGATCTGTACCTCTCCATCAGCCTCTGCAGGTAGTTGACAAATAAAGTGAGAAACTTAATTCAGCTCAGCTGCACCTGACTGCAAAAACAACAAAAAACAATTCTTATTTCCAAGGAATTTCCAATTTCACAAAACACTTATTTCCAAGGATCTACTTTGGTCAAAGCCTTCCATAATATCATTATTATTGTTACGAAACTGTCAGTAATGAGGTTAAGAGGTAGCTAGAGTCTCTCATAAAATCACAAGTTGGCTGAGATTGGAAGGGACTTCTGAAAGCCATTTGGTTCAACCCACTGTGCAATCACAGAATCACAGAATGGCCAGGCTTGGAAGGGACCTCAAGGATCATGAATCTCCAACCCCCTGCCACACGCAGGGCCAACAACATCCACATACAACACTAGACCAATCTGGCCTTGAACACCTCCAGGGACGGGGCATCCACAACCTCTCTGGGCAGCCTGTTCCAGCACCTCACCACTCCCTCTGTAAAGAACTTCCCCCTGATATCCAACCTAAATCTTCCCTCCTTCGACTTAAAACCATTTCCCCTCATACTGCTGTTATCCATCCTTTCAAAGAGTTGATTCCCCTCCTGTTTATAGGCTTCCTTTAGGTACTGAAAGGCTGCAATGAGGTCACCCCGCTGCCTTCTTTTCTCCAGGCTGAACAAGCCCAGCTCCCTCAGCCTGTCTTCATAGTGGAGGTGCTCCAGTCCCCTGGTCATCTCTGTGGCTCTCCTCTGGACCCTCTCCAACAGCTCTCTGCCTTTCTTGGACTGGGGGCTCCACACTTGGACACAGTACTCCAGATGGGGCCTCACAAGAGCAGAGTAGAGGGGGACAATCACCTCCCTGTCCCTGCTGGCCACCCCTCTTCTGATGGAGCCCAGGATATCATTTGCTTTCTGAGCTGCAAGAGCACACTGCTGGCTCACGTGAAGTTTTTCATCTATCAAGACCCCCAGGTCCTTCTCCACAGGGCTGCTTTCAAGGACCGCTCCTTCCAGTCTGCATGGATGCCTGGATTCCTGCAGCCCAAGTGCAAAACTCTGCACTTTGCCAGTTTGAACCTCATCAGGTTCACTCAGGCCCACCTTTACAGCCTGTCGAGGTCCCTCTGAATGGCATCCCTTTCTTCCATTGTGTCAACCGCACCACTCAGCTTGATATCATCAGCAAACTTGCTGAGGGTGCACTGGATTCCTTCATCGACATCATTGATAAAGATGTTAAAGAGCACCGATCCCAAGACAGACCCCTGGGGGACACCACTCGATACCAGCCTCCACCTGGACACAGAGCCATTGATGACCACTGTCTGCGGCCTTTCAACCAGTTTCTTATCCACTGAGTGGTCCACTCATCAAATCCACATCCCTCCAATTTGGAGATAAGGATGTGGTGGGGAACCATGTCAAAGGCCTTGCTCAAGTCCAGGTAAGCAGGGACACATAGAACAGGTTGCTCAGGATCATGCTCAGAAAGATTTTTAATATCTTCAGAGAAAGAGACTACACAACCTGTCTGGGCAGCCTGTGCTAGTGCTCCATCACCTGCTATTGTCAGACTACTGCTGATGTCCTAAATTATTGATACAAGTACAGCCTGTAAGCCTAAGCAACAGCCAAACAGTAACTCAACAGAGAATGAAAAAAATACTGATTTCAGAGTCTGCTGTGCTCCAAGTATATCTTTTTAACCAGTAGTACTTAAACTCAACTTTTGTACGTTAGGTCTTCTGCTCAACAATTCATGCTTCCCACAGATGAAGAACAAATCAAGACAAGGTCACAGAAAGCACAGAAGCAGGTCATGCCCCTCAGAGTAAAACTCTTTTTTTCCTATATATCTTTAATTACATTCTCCATTTTGGAATGATAAATCCAAAGCAAACTGCTTTATTCCATTTTTATTCCTTAAAATCCAAATTCTATGGTTCACATACAGATAAAAACCTGTATGCCTTCAGTTTAGAAATGGCACACTGCTGCCTCTTGTCAGTTCAAGTAGGAGATAGATTTTTCATGGCAGGGATGTGTGTACCTCCAGAATTTAGTTTTTTTGTGTAGTAGGAAGAGGATTGACAAAGGTACTGGATATTTAAGGAGCTGTTTCCAGCTTTACTCCACACTGTTTCCCCCTCAACTTTTTGGGATAAATCACAACTTCTCCATAATGCAGCTACACAAAACCAATTTCAATAGTTTCCTAAGACATTTAACTCCTAATATTTCATCTTGATGAACTAGGACCACATGAACCAGACAGATATGACCACAGACGTAGAAAATTCAACTAGAAATGACAAAGTGAAAAATTCCCGACACTACAGTTCATAGTGATTCTTTAAAACAACATCTTAACACTTCTGAATAACACAAATATATTTGAAAATGCATTTCAACATTACAGATAGAATAAGAAAATTCTGGTTTCAAAAACCAGGAGCCAGTATCTCTTATAGGGGAAGACATACAGTGATACCAATTCCATCAATATCTTCTATTTCTAAGGCACATATTTGCAGATCACTTTAAAACTTTAAAACAATCTCAGCCAAGGGAACATATTTTTTACTTCTTTAGCATTAAAAGTTATTTAGTGACAAGAGAAATTAGTTGTGCAACTTGAGATTTCCTAAAGCAATGCAAAGTTCTCAAACTCACTGTTTTACAAAGCTGTAAAAGGGATATGGTACCTTTTATTTTTGTACAGATATTTACACAGACACTCTGAATGGCTTAAGTTGTAAGAGACTTCTGGAGATCATCTAGTCCAACCTCTCCCATGCCTCCAAGAAGGGCCACCTAGAACACATTGCACAGGATCATGTCCAGGCAAGTTTTGAAGACCTCCAGAAAGGATAATTCCACAGCCTCTCGGGTGACTTGTTCCAGTGCTCCATCACCTTCACAGTAAATAAGTTTTTCCTCATATTCTAATGGAACTTAGTGTGTTTGTGCCCATTCCCTCTCATATTGCTGCTGGCTGTTATTGAAGAGTATAGTCCCATCCTCATGACACCCTCCACATAAGATATTTGTGTACTTTGATGAGATCCCCTCTCAGTCTCCCTCCAGGCTAAAAAGGCTCAGCTCCCTTGATGCTCCAGTTCCTTAATCATCTTTGCACCGCTTTGCTGGACTCCCTCCAGGAAACTCAGAACCAGACACAGCCTCACCAGGGCTGAGTGGAGGCAGAGTATAACGTTCCTCAACCTACTAGCAATGCTCTTGTCCAGCAATCTGAATGTCTTTTTGGACAAAAGGACACACGCTGGCTCATGGTTAACTAGTTTTCCACCAGGATTCCCTGGTCCACAGAACTGCCTTTCCAGCATGTCAGACCCTAATCTGTACTAATACATACGGTTATTACTCATTTAACCTCCACTTTCTGAGCTTACCTATGAGGATGTTATGGGAGACACTGCTGAAAATCTTCTTGTTGTTCACTTTGACTTCAGCCAGTACTCTCTCCCCATCTACAAGGCCAGTTCTTCCTGATCTCTTTTCTTCCACATGCTTAAGGATGACATCCAGAATCAGTTGTTCCATCAGCTTCCCAGGGACAGAGGTGAAACTGACTGGCCTGTAGTTTCCTGGGTACTTCTTGCCCTTTTTGAAGACTCAAATGATGCTGGCCATCCCTGATCTTGCAAAAATAATGGAGTAGCCTAGCAATAATATCTGCCAGCATACTCAGCACTCGTAGCTGCATCCTATTGGGGTACATGGATACACATCATGTTTGCTTAAATGATCAATAACAACAGGAAACTCTCTCCAAACTTTATCTTTTGTCTCCAGAGTATGAGATTCCTGTGGGCTGCTGGCCTTAGCAGTAAAGACTGAAGCAAAGAAGCCATTCAGTAATTCTACCTTCCCTGTACTCTTCATCACTAGGGCACCCATCCCATTTATGAGTGGGTCCACATTTTTCCCTAATCTTCCTTTTGCTACTGATGTAGCAGTAGCCCTCACTGCTCCTGACTCCCCTTGCCAGATTTAATTAAGTGGGCCTTAGTCTTTCCCATCACATTCCTGCATACTCTAACAATGTACAAAGTGGCCTGTCCCTTTTTCTCCCACATACTTCTTTACTCTGAGTTTACCCTGGAGCTTCTTGCTCATCCATGCAAGTCTTCTGCCCACTTCATTTGAGTTCTTACTCGTAGAGGTGCACCGATCTGAAGCATGGAGAAAGTGAAGCCTGAATATTAACCATATGTCTTGGAACACCTACCTTCTACGGCTCTAAGCCCACAGGATTCCCCCAAGCACAGGAAGGTTTGTCTCACCTGAAGTCCAGGTTTACAATCCTACTTATTGCCCTGCTTCCTCCACACAGGATGCTGGACTTCACTCATCTCACAGTTACTGCAGCCAACCCTACCCCCAGCCTTCATATTTCCAACAAATGGTTCCAATAACTAATGCTGCTAAACCTTGTACTAACCTTTTGATCACTTAAAAACACCACTTCACCAAAACCAAAGTGAAACATAAAGCTAACAATTAAAAATTTTCTTTGTAAGAAAGGGGCATTCCAGGCATTTGGGCCCACCAGTTACAGGTCCAACCTCTGTGACAGCTCCATTGTTGCCATTCAGCTCACGGGATCCAAGCTGATACAAAGTACAGCGTATCTCATTGTCTCAGTGATTCGGGCTGCTGTGCTGGCTTTGCAAGGGCAGCCTATACTTGTCACACAATGGTGTAAACTTGCAATTTCTAAATGAAAACACAGTTTTGTTCTACTGGGGAATGAGCCCCGTGACAATGGAGGGATCAATGGATGCAAGAAAACAAGGGTAAACTTTAATTCCTCATTACATTCAGTACTGAACTTAAATTAGTATTATGCAGCTGGATCCCAGATTACACTCCAGGTTTCTGACTGGTTCTTCTACAACCTTCACACAAGTGCACAGCTTGCATTTTAAAATATGAGCATATTTCCTTTCTCTATTATAGAATTTAAATACAAAAGCACCTTCTACTTCACTTCTGTAACTTGGTAGGTCAGAATTATGTTTGGTACAACATTTTTCAGGGAAAACAGAGAAAATAAACTCGAACTGTGGTCAAAAGGAATCACTTATAAAGTGAAGAGACATTTATATCCAACATCAATTATTACAATCATAGAGCTGAAACAGAGAAACAATTTCTTATTTGTACATACTGAGCAGCAAAAAAGTAAACTTTATATATACACACACAACAAGCTTAACAGAGAAGCAAATCTGAATCTGTTTTATCTATGAACAGTAAAGAACAACTTCCCCGTAAGTATTTTGTGCATTTCTACCTCATACAGAAGAATGAATGCATTTTTTCTTACTGTCCTAAGGTGGAAAAATTCAAACCTTCCCTTAAAGCAAAAATAACTGCGAACTAGTGAACTAACACATATTCGCCTGAGATCACTCTGAAATATAGGAGAAGATCAAAAATGATTAATAGCTGAGTGCACAACAATTTATATCATTTTTTAAAGCAAAATATCATTTATACAGAACAGGTTTTGCTAAAGAGAATTACTGAAAACAGTGCAGGAGGAGATACTACAAGGACCTCAAGCAGCTTACTCTTCCACTTTCTTCACTTTGTGTTCAATATTGACTTGTTTCCAACTTTCTGTAACATAAAAAGAGAAGGGAAGGAAGAATGAAAGGAAAAAATAATGATTAAGAGCATTTCTTTAACTCAGCTTAACTCATGATTGTTAGTTTCTCTCAAGTCCAAAGCAGTTTTATGATAAGTACTATAGGTAGATGAATTTCACACAGGTCAAACAGAATAAATAAATTTAAAAAAAAAAAAATACAACTAAATATGATCTACATGCATATCCACCTCTGATTAATGTGGAGAATCATTCCCATGGAAAAAAAACAAACAAACAAAGTGAGCCAATGCTTCTATCCTTTGTTTATATCTGGATTAGTTATTTCTTTTTAGACTAATTATGTTGAATATAGTTGGTAGCCACTAGTGACATGTCCAGAGAAAATGTGCTTGACTACTTTAAAGCATCATATAAGAACATTCATGCAAGCACTGAGAATGTCACAAGTGCCTTGGAAAACAGAATTATCACTTGTAAGTTCTACTGAGAAAAGCAAGATCAAAGCTAAAGAGTCTATCCTGTATTATACAATCTAAAGAAATAGAGCTATGACGATGTTTGGAGGTAGGGAGGATGTGGGCAAGAGTGAAAAGGAACATTATGCACACTTATTTTTTGGTCATTCTAAGACACATGTCAGTATGATATCTGTATGGATCAGATCATGGAATCACTAAGCATTCTGTTCTCCTGTCATAACATAAGATGCAATTTCTAGCACCTCACACCAGTTTTTTATCGTTCATGGAAATGCATCATTCATATGCAGCCTTAATCACTTGTTTAGTAATTAAGCACAGCTGCTTAGTAACTAAACCACGAGTGGAATAAAAATCACAGGAGGCAAAGTTGTATTCTGCTTACAGAAGTGCTCTGAAATACTGAAAAAATGTTAGTGTACATGGATGAGAGTACCACACCAGCCACAACTCAGATTAATGTATCAAGAAAATTAAGATTTACACCCAGATTCTGTGTTGGTCAGGTGGCTCACAGAAAATCTGATCTCCAAATTGAAAAGGAGTTTATGGCTACCATCTTTGCAAGTGAAAGAAACAACCAGACCTACAATAAACATCAGTGCAGCAAACAATACTACAAGTTCATAAAACTTTCGTGTATCTATCACTACACAGATTAAATCCAACTATTTATCTTGGGATATGTTTTGTTACATAACAAGGCAACAAACAAAATTACAGATGAATGTTAAGACAAAATAAAAAGTCATGTTAACACAGTGTACTCAAAATGGTCCATACCTGCAAACTGAAGTAACAAAAAAAAAAAAAAAGAACTTCTGAGTGTACTTTCATTGTATTATCAAACACTAACACAACTCACAACTCGATTATGTACAGCATCTTACCTATAAGCTGTACTCAAAACACTTAGCAGACTTTAATAATGCAATTGCAGAGTTAAGCAGAAGAGAACAATTAAGTGCTGCAGGCAAGGAAGAAAACATTGAAACAGAGAAACAATTTCTTATTTGTTTTCTGACGGGATTTGAAACAAAAGGGAGAATCAAGGTAACTTTGTCTCCTGTTGTAAGTAAGGAATAAGTAAACGTCATAAAGCAGTATCAAAACAATTCATTTTACCTCAATAGCATCATCCATTTTTGTGTTCTCATACAACCATTTTAGCTTGTTTCTGATTTAGGAAACTCTTTCTCTGGAGAGCTGTCATCACTGAGGTCACTGTAGCTTTCGCTGTTAAAAGCAATACATAGTTACAAAACATGAACAGTGATACAAGTTTGATTTCAAGCCCTCCCACACAGATGATGTACATGACACACACTTTCCTCAAATGTTTCCCATTTCCAGAAAACTATTTTAAACTAATTCTGGTATTTTAGAATGTATTCCTCTACAGGAATGGGCTTAAGTTTGAAGTCTAGAAACTGATGAGGAACAATATTTCACCATACAAACAGGATATTCAATTTTTTTCTTTCCCCTGCTTGGATACTGTGTGTTCATTCTACAGTTTGCTGTGGTGTCACACACATGCGATTGTGATCAACAGCATGGAGAACAACAGGTATTCAGTGTTAGACTAACAGAAATTTCTCCTTTAGGATAAAGAAAATTATATTTTAACCAAGAGAAAAGTTAATACTATTTACTCAGAAATCTTCTATTTAAAGTATGATTTTCACTCTTGCATTTTCACCGAGGATCATTCTGACACTTTCTCCTTTCATTTTATCCCCTTTTGCTGTATCTTGAGAGAAGTAGATTTTTTTTTTTTTTTTTTTTTTACCTTTTTTTTTTTTTTTTTTAAACAGAACAAGCTGCCATGCAAGTGATCATTTTATAAGTGGCTAGAAGAAGGAAACAGTGAAGGACAGGAATCACCACAATGACTGAAAGAAAGAAGCGCCCACAAACCACATTCGTAGCCAGCTGGACAGGATCTTGTAGAATCTATTCAGTGATACCTATCAAGTCTCAACATTTATCTTAACTCTGCACAAAATGCACCTCTCCACAAAATACTCCAGACTTAGCTTCCCCCCACACCATGCTTCACCTCTACAGTTTGCTTTCCACATACATGACTTTCCCAAGATTAGAATTCAGCAAAGGAAGCCCAGGGAACTAATGAGTACAGTAATAGTGCTGGCCAGTTCTCTGATACTGCAGAGAGTAGCATATGGTTAACAGAATACACGTGGAGATCTCTAACCTCATTTGTGTGGGAGCACCAGTACCAGCACTGGGTAGCACATCCACTCCAACCACTGCACAACTGCCTTGCCACATCGTGCTCTTATCATGCAATTTTCTCTCTCAGCCAACAGGACTTCAGTCATGTAACCCCCTAGCTCAGGTCGGGATCTCCCACTGGGCCATCAAGCACATAAGCAGCCTATGACCTACCGAGACACAGCTTTTCAGTTGATCTTCAGTAACTGCAGTGTTTCAAGGGGAACTATGTAATGCCATAGTTAGAGATCTTTAATGTAAACTCTAATGAGGAGTGGTAAAGGAACTGCACTCATTCATACTGGTACATGATGAGTACTGCTTTCTAGCCCTAAGTCCACTCTCTCCATTTTGCAAAAACACAATCAAAGATAATGTCAGCCATTTTAACAGAGTGCAACAAGAGAAATGGAACCAACTGCCATCTCATTGAATTTCTACCTCTGACTGCTTGGAAAGACCCCCACAGTTACAGCAAATCACTGTAGCAACTTTCATAAAAGACAAGGTCGGTATTCCAACTACTTAAACAAGTATTAAGACTTTACCTACAGCATTCTGCCCTTTCTTTGCAAGACATTCACATTGTTGATGCAACTCTTGTAAAGAGTGTGTCATATCAGACTAACTACAAATGCTTGATTTGATCACTCCACCAGCTGGCAAACAATTACACAGTTCAAGTGAGGAAAGTGCTGTTAACAGTATGATCAAGCATGCCAGATGCACACACACAAACACAACATCACTGACACCGTACTTACTTCTTTCTGAAAGTACCCATGGAAACACATGGAATAAAAATTCAGTATTATTAAACATTATTATATTTTCACATCAAAGCAAAATAGCAAAAATTGTCTACAGAACACAGAGTAAAATTGCTGATTGCAGAGGCATGCAGTTTCATGATAACTTTGGATTAAACCCAAAACCTTCAGAGAAGAGCTCCATTATGTTTTTCTTTTGTTGGCTCTGCTGCCTACTGGCATAACAAAAACACATGCCAGAGCTCCAAACATCTTTACAAGGCCCCTGGAAATCTAGGTAAAAAATGCTTCAGCACCAGGAAGGTGAATGGAGAAGAGCCCAAGTTCATCCCCAGGAGAAAGATGGTACAGTATAACATTTGATTCCACAACCCAATGAAGGGCTCTGGTCACTGTGTTCTTGACTATTCTGCAGTAGCACCCCAAACTCTCTCCTAATTTAGAGCCCTGCTGGGTGTAAGTCAGTTTTATTTCTCACAGGCAGACTACAGTGGCAAGAAAGATAACGCAAATACTGAGGTAATGGTCAGCCCTTGGGTTACAGACTCAATAACTGTCATTCTCAGTTTTTGCTGTTTGAATCATTTATCTAAGCATCCACAGATAGTTGTGGCATTGTGTTAACAAGAACAATTTAGGCTCCCATAAAACCTGAACCACCTCAAGAGATGAGCTGCAAACAGGCACATGTGAATCTTGGCATATCCAGGCCTGTGAACTATATCTTCAAACCAATAATGATATATCAAGTTCAAAAGATTTACTGTGATATAAACCATATTCAGCTGATAAATAATCTGAAGAAAAACTCCAATCACTACCTCTCAAGAAGAAACATGTGCTTCTTTCCAGATTACACTGAGTTGCTACACAGATATTAAACACAAAAATCTACTACTATTATGTGTGATGTATAAACCTTACCTAAATGAGCTGGCTATGAAAGTGGTGAGGAGAAAAATAAATAAGCCTGGCCTCACAGGGCCTTATATTTATACTTCAGACCAAGAGAAAATCAGAACAAAACACTGAGTATGCACAGCATCACTACATCTAGTCAATCATTTCAGTCTTCTAAGACAGTCCACTGAGTGCGTAGAGATGAAGAATTGTGGTCACTTCAACCCCTTTCTAATCTAGACATAGTTAATGGAAATACAGTACCCTAGCTTGTATTTTGCTTTGCAGTGAATTGCAAGAGGAGTTGCAGTACACATACAATCAGACTGGAGTTAGCAAACATTCTCTGCTGAGAAATTACATTATGGTTTTCTGCTTTGTTTCAGTGCTTTTCCTCAGATCCCCATCTTTTCACAACATAGCAATAAAATCAGCTCTTTGCATGTTTGCCATTATTACCAAATCCACACCCATAGCAGAGGTTTTTGTTCTACTGACAGAAGTTTCATCACATTTACTATGCAGTCTAATGCATGGAAGGAGACAAGATAAAAGATTCAGTATGATATGAGAGGCAGCTAAAAGTTTTTAAGGGCACAAGAGCTATCTATGGAGTGCTACAACGCTTCACCTCAGCAACCAATCTCAGCTGCAAAACTACGAGAACAAACACTCATGAGTAACTTTAAATCTGTATTTCTCAACAATCTGCTCATAAGCTCCAAACTGCCTGCTTTCCATGTTTTTGTCACAAAACACGGGGAACCGTAAAAATGGGTGCTCCTGGTAAGTTTTATTTGTTTCACTTGGAAAATCTTTCAAACTCCTTTGAAAACTAAGCAGTTAACACAGTTTCAGAGGAGCATTTTTCATCTTTTTTTTTTTAAATATATAATTGACTAAAAAATCCTTTTCCAGGAGTGTTAGCAATGTAAACATCTGTTACAGCAATGCTATCCCAAGTAAAGGCAGGAGCTAAGCTAAGTGCATTTCTTCATCAATGCAAATCAAAGATAAATGTAATTACATTTAGTATAGGCTGTGGATGTTTGAAAGAAATAATTGTTATAAGCTTTCTAGAACCTAGTAAAAACAAATCTATCAATTATTATTATTTACCTCACACACAAAAAAATCTGAATGATTAAAATTACAGCTATTAAAACTTTGTGCAATAGTTACAATTGCAGTCACCTCTATTCCTCAATACGTATTTTCAAGCTTTTGTCTCTATAGAACAGTACTATCCACCATCAGCATTTGATTCTATGCTTCCATAAAACACAATTCAATTAAAGAATCCCTTCATCATATACCAAAGTCTCCTCACTTCCAACATGCCAGACTTCTGCACTCACATAATGGGGCCTGGGATAAGGTTTTCATTAGGACACAAAATAACGAAATCTACAACCAAGAGGCCAGAACGTATCTGGTTGGATAAAAGTTCCCACTGTCAGCTGAGTCTCATGCACAGGATTCCATTCACACAGCATCAAGACATCTTCATCTAAGCTTGATATCACCAGCTTCTTACCAGCCAATGGAAACAAGTACTTCTAGGGTATAACACCTCTAAAGCACTCAACTATTAGGATAAGCTAATTGACTTCTTAACAGAGCATACTCTCTGACTGCACAAAATGACTTGGAGTGACTAGTTCAAAACTGTCTGTGATGTTCTGTGTGAGCTTTTTTGGTGGATACTTTTTTGTTTGTTTGTGGCAGTCAACAGCATAACTACAACTCACGTAGTCAGTATAGGGTGAGGTGCGCAGAAAATCATCTCCTCAAATTTGATTAAAAGTCTTGTTATGACATGTCTTAGGTTTAATGTTCAATGACATCATTACTATTCTGAGGTCTAATGGTTTAAATTAGAAATCCTTTCCACTCAGCAGGCAGAGAGTGGTTGCGCTGTAATGAGCAACGAAATTCCCTCCTGAAAGTTCTTCCTATGCAAATGCTTCTATTTTAGCCTTAAAGTGCTTTCCTTTTCCAGTGCTCACTTTCTCTGGGCATACCTTTCTGTTTTATTTCTGCAACAATGAAAAACATAACTGGGTAAGAATTTCATTTCATTGTAAATTAACAGAGTAGGCCAGAAACCAAAATTAACTTCACTTTGCTTTACTAAAGGTTTTTTACTTCCTTCTGGTTGTAACAGGGATCAAACCCTCAGAACCTCTGTACATGAAGAAGGGAAGGAATAAGCTGTTTGCAGACACATTTACACCAGAGTTTATGCTGAGCATACACAGGAATAAATATATCAATATATGAAGAAATCATTTTTCTTTCCTGGTCTTCTGAGCTGATGGACAGAATACTCCTCCCTCCAATAACATGGTTGAAACTGCAGGCAAATAAATAAGAAAGATTACCTTGGAGACAATTTACATCCACGCTGCAAGTATGCGTTAAGTGTTCCAGTTGCTGCAAGCAACAGCCCAAGGTATGGAGGTGAAGGTTTCATAGGTCTTGAGGAAAACTCTGGGTGGAATTGAACTCCCACAAAATATGGGTGATCTACAAGACAGATGTCATAGAGAAAATTAAAAGATCCAAGAAGAGAATACTAGAACAACTGTTGGAATAAAAATTCTTGAAGATACCACATAAGAGTCAAGAAATCAGATCAGCATGTGTAAACTTAAGGATGATAACTTCAACTTTTTTTTTTTCATGGAAAGCAACTGACAATGGTGGCAAAAGGTTAGTAAAGCAAATCAATGAAAAATCATCCCGATTCAACCTTAACGTGCCCAACAATGTAATTAAAAGCTGGATTATAAATATCTACAGACATGTACAGGAGAAAACAATGCTATGTAGGCAACCATAATTTAACCATTTCCCAAGCTTTTTTCCTACTGTTCTGGTATCCAAAATTTATATTTATGCATGCATATTCAGAACGTGCACCTACATGCATCTAAGTGGAAAATGAAAAAGTTTGTAAAAGACTAGGCACTACAATACAGCAACTATTTACATACTAAGAGACGAACACGGAAGCTATTTACACCAAATTTGGGGAAAACAAGTTTCAAACAATTTGGCCTGGAAGGGAACTGCTGAATCAGTAACACTGTTTCCTGCTATTGAATAAAGCTGCATCATGTAGTCTCACATACAAAGGCCAAAAGTCCTCGTAACAACCCCTAGGATTTTTTGCTCCCACAGGAAAGGTGTTAGGATAGTCTCTCCTTTTGCTTAGAAACCTCTTCCTAATTCAGAAGCCATCTTATTTACAGACAAATTGCATCCATTTCCTATAGTGCACTGCTTTCCCACTGTATGTTCTGTGATGAAGGATGAGAATATCATCAGCATTTAGTGTCATTTATTACACTAATCAGTAGTCTTCTCTTCAGTCTTTAGCTGCTTCTCCAGTCAAAGCAACTCATGAATACTGCTTCTGCACCCCTATCTTTCTTGGAAGGATAAGGATGGAACAATATTTTTGTGCTCTTTCATGCCGTGCACCTGTTCCATCTCTAAATATCAGTTTAAAGGAGCCTAATGTTAACCATTTCTACTAGCAGGACACAAGATGAAAGTAAGTACAGATCTCTTCTGATTGGCCAATTTCCAAAACAATCCCAAACATTCAAGGAATTTCTCTGCCATATAGAATAAGTGATAACAAGAAAGTAGGGGTTTTTATTCTCTGAAGATAAACAATATAAGCAAGTATACTGCTCTTTGTTCTGTTGCTATGCCATAAAAAGAATCTGAGATCCTAAATTTATCCTAAAATTTCTCTCTCTCTGCTATGAAGTTTAATTCTTTAAAGCAACAAAATAAGACAAAGCATCAAATATTTCCTGCGGAGATGTTTTCCTAAAAGCTTTGCCTAAGCTATCTAGTATGCTGTTATTTCTGTTCTTCCGCTTCAACCCACCCTCCTCTCTATGATGACTTTAGTAATCAGCCTCCTTGCAGCCCGTTGTGAAATAATTCCAGGTTTTACTGCTGCTTTCATTCTTTTTACAGTAACATGTAATTTAAAAAATCCTGCCTGATTTATTTAATTATGCTCTTTATAAAAGTTGTTTTATGCAGGACAGATAAAATAGTCTCCCAAACAGTCTCAGCTTGCATAAGAAAATTAATCTGCCATGACAGTTAACAGTTAATGAATTCATATGTACTTTTTGCTCTGAGTTTACTCTCTATGTACAGTTGCTTGATATTTCAAATAGATGTCTATACTCAAACCCTGGTTCAAAATGACAAGAATGTTCTTCAGCATACTATGGAGTATAAAAAGAATTCTCAGAAACATCTTTTCAGAAATAGCACTCTATAGAATGATAGTGTAGTTTTATGATAAGTTTCTGTGCAAGCTTATCTAAATCAACAGCATTTGAGGTCACTTAAAAAAAAGCTTGTAAAGTAGCCCTCATGTTCAGGAGTCTGATACTCGCCTAGCCAATGGTGTCTTAACAGTGAGGAATTACTCAAAGATTCAAGCAAAAGCTAAGAGGCTGTCTCTATGAGCAGAACTATGTAAACATTTAACAATAAAAAAAAAGCAGCATACTTTCTTATCATTTTGAGAGATCTTTTCAAAAAAGCATCTAGCCATACTTGGTGTAGTAGTCCAATCCTATCAGATTTTCACAGAACTAAGCCTTTTTATTTATATGAATTACTTCCGTGAAAGACAGGAGTTTGCTTTCTGTATGATTTTCATACTCCATTTTTTTTTCTGATTCTAAATGGGGGTAACTGAAGGAGACACACATTGAGTTTGGAAGGTACTTCAGTTTCTAGTCCTATCTCCTACTCAAAGCAGGGTCAACTTGAAAATTAAGTCAGGCTACTGACTACTTCACTTAGTCAAGTTTAGAAGGTCTCTGCAAAGATGGGGATTTATACAGAGATGTTTCTTAGCTTGGTTATACTGCATGTATACAACTCAGATAAAATAAACCAGTTATTGAAACATGACTGAGAATATCTGAGGGTACTTAAGGCCAATGTAATCACAAAGCTGTTTTTCACCTTTAAAAGGCCAACATGATCAGGGGAGGTCCCTGATGGCCAGAAAAAGACAGTCATCAATCTCATCTTCAAGAATCATTAACCTAAGGAACAGTACAGTCAACTTCAACTTGGCAAATGGCAAGATTACAAAATAAAAGCTACTCCAATCCATTTTCAGACACAAAGGAGAGGAAAGGAATTAAAAATAATCAGTCTCTGAATGAGAGAAGAGCTGTAGCTTTCCTTTACCCTGACTTTAGCAAGACTTTTAACATGGTTTCCTAGCAACCAAATTGGAAGCTATGGAAGGAATGGGTAAACTACAAAATGTCCTAAAAATGGCTAGACTGCTGGGTTCAAAGAACAGTGGCAAGAAGAAGTCCAACCAGTTGCATATTTGGAGACAACGAAAAATTTGACTGGATATGGCTCTCACCAACCTGATCGAAGGTAGCTGTTCTGAACAGAGGGTTGGAATAGACAACTTCCCAAAACATTCTGTGATTCCATGTAGCACTGAGCTAGAATTACAATATTTTGCAGAAACTGTATGTATCTCTCTGATAACCTAATTCATGCAGAATCCCTGAGGAGAAATATAAGACAGTGGCTCTTGAAAGCCACTGAATCTTAATTTATTGTTATACACAAGTGGACTCAACAGTAACTCCTAACATGATCCTGGCTGTTTCAACAGGTAAGTACTGACCTACTTGCCATTTACTTACCTACAGTTTATGTAGTTTTAACAGATACAGAAAGTACTACAGACAAGTGAGACACTTACTCTCCAGTTCAATCATTTCCATTCTGTTTCCTTCTGTATCATGGCCAACAAATTTCAAACCTTTCTCTTCAAAGCAGTGAGTTAATTCTGGGTTCACCTGAAATATTGAAAACAGTTGTAGTTTTATTTATTTTTTGATGCAACTTTTTGATATAACTGTAATGCTTTTATTATGTATGCAAGAACAAAAATATTTGGAAAAAGAGCTGAGAATTTTTGCTTTCTTTGTTGAGACTCGGGTAGTAGCTTTCAAAAAATAGGCATGCTTACATTAACATGAGATGAGTCAGTAACTTAAAAACTTAACAATAAATACAAACAAAAGATTAAAGACAGGGTCCCTTTTGCTCACTATCCTCCTGATCCTAAAGAGCATGTATTCCTCATTTTTGAAATGGCCAACTATAGCAAGTGGAAGGCTGTTCAGTTCAACTGTCTATGGCATAAGCTGTCAAAAATCACCCAGACAGGAGCTCTAGAATGAAATGTTTCATCTCCTTGGTAATGTTCTACTTACTTCATTAATATTCAAACTGAACACCCTTACCACCATTGCACTCTTTTCCCAGCTTAAAGGAAACTTAGCGTTGTTTGAACCAGATTTTACCATGCATACATCTCACAGTTTAGGCCCCTTTAGAGATACTTTCAAATGCCTTCTGAACCATTTCTGAACTAACACAGCATTCCCAACTACTGTCAGTTTCCCTAGACAATAGCATTTTGAATATATAGAGATGCCTTTCCTCAGATGTTCTCGCTGAAGAGGACCTATACCAGAGGCCAGTAGAATTGGGATAATTGCTAGGATGCAAGTGATCTGGATTAGCATCTAAGTTATAGATGCCTGAAGTCTGCCTATGTTTAGATTATAGCAGAATGTGGACTTTCTGAGCATAATCTAAACCCAGTCAGCCCAGGAGCAATACACTTAAAGATTATAAACCTACACCTTTCAGATATCTCATAGTAAGTCAAGTCAGGTAGTGGTTAAAAAATAGTCTAAGAAACAATCTTGTTACTACACTATTCCCCTTTCTTTAAAACTTGTAATAACACCTCTGCAATACCGTGTCCAGTTTCAGGCCCCTCAGCACAAGAAAGACGTATTAACAAAATACTGTGAAATCTATAGGATGTCCACTGGGACATTTAGGGGACTGAAGAACATATAATGCAGAAGAGACTGAAGGAGCTAGGTTTGTTCAACCTGGAAAAGAGAAGGTGAAGTGTGGAGGTAGTTGTTGATTTCAGCTATCTAACGGGATGGTATAAAGGAGATGTAGCCAGACTTTGCTTGGAGGTGCAAAGCAGAAGAGTGAGACATTAAAGACGCAAACAAACACGGAATTTCTGGTAGATATAAAGGAAACATAGCTCGCAATCAATTGTTAAGCAAATTTTCCAAAGATATAGATATATAGATAATCTAAAGATATAGAGCAATCTCTCTCTCAGAATTTCTCAGCAAGGACAGGACAAAACCTTGAGAAGTCTGATCTAATTTCAAAGTTAGCTCAGCACCAAGCACCTATGTAGGTGAACCAAAGCATGAATGTTCCTCACAATATAAATGACTAAACATTAGTAAGTCTTGTTCTACGGTTATGTAAGAAATCTCCCACTGGCTTTAATAAGAGTCATGTCTACCGAGTGAAATAGTTTGTTTAAGCTTTAAGTTTTGAGCACAAAGTCCATTAGCAGTGCTTACCTCATATCGATGCCTGTGTCGTTCCTCCACAAACATTTCATCACCATAAAGTTTCCCTGAAAATACAACAAGAAAAACTAATACTAATGCATTGCTTCAACTAATTATAGCTAATAATTTAAAACTCAGAAGTTTTTCATGTGGAAAACTTTGTAACAGGACACTTTATCTCACTCCAGCTTTCTGGTTTTTTTTGGAATCATTTTAGTTTCTACTTAAGTTTATTCAGGATTCATACTGAGTATTCCTCAACTAGAAATAGCTTATAAGCTTCAGAGTTTAAATTGTAAATGTCTAAATAATAATGAAAACAGACATTTGAGTGAAAAAGTAACATGAAATCCCTGCTAGTTTTATAACAATCATATGCAAAATGTGCAATGAAGTTCCACAGCCTTTTGCTAGCATTCCATCTTAACGGATTATACTCGGCAAATGGCATGCTCCTACTGACAAACAGAACATTGCTTTTCTCTCTGGCTTCTGATCTTTTTAGCAAATGACTCTTGCAGCTCTCTTGAATCTTCTACATCACAAACTAACAAGAAACAAGTTCAAGGTATGCAGTAAACCAGAATTTAATTACTTCTCTCACAGCGACAGCCCAAACTCTGCTTTATCTTAGCATCATTAGTAGTACTGCCTCATTTAAGGTGTTGGTACAAGAACAGAGCTGCCAAAAATTATCTCTAAGATTCTGAAGAGTGATAATACTGCAAATACTAAAGATTAAAATCAGATTTTTTCATTAAATGGACATGCATACTGCAGTGTGATCTCCTGCTGAAATAGATATAACTTCTAAAAACTCAGAAGGACAGTTCCTATAGGTTCAATATCACTAAATACTAATTAGGGCACGGCAATACAGAAAATATATTTATTTAGAAACAAGAAATTCTATTTTACATGGTTTTAGTATCACCTGTATTAATGCTGTATAATAAGAGTCCCAAATGGGCTAATAACAGATCTAAACATTATTGATTATTTCAAGCAGTGTAAAGCACTGGGTTCTAATTCAGCTTTTCAATGAGACTTCAGATTTTCTCATTTCACGGAAACATGATCAGAGTGAATAACATCAAGGAAGCTGCTTGCTTCAGGTTGTAATTCTTTAATAAAATCCTTTAACACCCTATACAAAAGGCAAGTGAAAGAACACAAGCGTAACTTACTTAAAATAGAATTTTGTGTTTTGAAAACGGTCCTCCTCTTCCCTAGTCTCATTGTTCCACCCATATCTCCAGGATTGTGTTCTGGCATGTCGATGACCTTTAGAGAAAAATTGTTTAAACACTGTTAATGTCCAGCAAAGAAAAAGAACAGCACAACAATCACATAACAGGCTTCGTAGATTTATAAGTATTAACATCACTCAGTTTCCTGCCATGCTTTTCCAATTACTATTTGCCTTCAGTTTTCCTAACACTTCATTCTCTCTGTTTACTAGGCCCTTTATTGTACTCTTCCTTATACTATTCTTTATATTCAATTTTCTTTCTTATACCAAGCAGCAGAGAAAGCTGTCTTGTTAAGACAGTGGAGCTCCTTTTTTTGAGGGGAAGAGGGTACAGGGCAGCAAAGAGAAGACAGCACTCACGGCAAGGCTATATAAACCTGTAAAAGCAGAGAACTAGAACTGGTGACCCCAGCACACGTGTTGTCTCAGATGACAGACATAAGTAACTTAACAGAGGGAGAAGATTAACAAAACTTCCCTCCTAAATCACCGTTACCAAAGACTTGGTTTGATTTGTTTTTTGCTGGTTTTGTTTTTCCAGAGTATGCAGTAACAACACTAGAGGCAACCAGAACAAACTTGTTCCCTCTGAACGCCAGGCAGCACTTCTGTGCTTGTGCAGGTAACAGAGCATCACAGAGGCTGTTCAGAGGCTGTGGAGTTTCCTTCCTTGGAGATCTCCAAGAGGCGCTTGGCCATGGGCCTGGCACCCTGCTGTTCTGGGTGTCCTGCTGGGGCAGAGGCTGATGGACACAGAGGTGTGTGCCAGCCTCAGCCATCCTGTGACTCTGGATCATTCTGTTTCTCAGACTGCCTAAGAGTATACAGAATACTGGGCTGCCATACATGTAGAACATACTATTTAACATTTAGAGAAGAGAATGTACAAAGCCTGTTATTGCAGACTGAAACAGATGGATCAAATGGCTGCCTGTGGGTTAACTAACATGGTGGAATTCAGTGGCTGTGAGAAACAACAGTTTAACAGAAGTAGCGTAGTTTAGTTTTTCTCAGTTTGAAAAATCTTGACGAGTCTCATAATTGTGCTTAGAGAAATTGTGTCTCAGAGAGGTAAAATCATTCTGAATAGTACGAACACATGAACTGAAACAACCACCCACATCCCTGTATTCTCTACGTACACTTCGTGAGAAACAATTGACAAGGCGAGGTTCTAAAAATACAAATATTCACACATACGGGTAAATCTGGAATTGGATTTTTATTAACCTTAATTTGCCCTCTGGGAGTAATGAAAATGTTTTCTGATGATACACTTCATAAACTGAAGTTATTCAATTTAGAAGAGATGGTGGAAAGTGCTTAGCCTTTGGCCTTGTGCCAATGCATTTCAGCTGTGCAATTATCTCTGCATAACCTTATACCTTCAAAATGTTATTTATAAACTACATACTCATTATAAAATGTCATGAGCAGAAGTTGTGATCAAACCCCTAGGATATTACAAATCCTCTAATTGCCTCCCAAAAACATGAAGATGAGGACTGTGCAATGTGCTCGGCTTAGAAGTATATATATATATATACATACACACACAAAACAACACCAGCTCAAAAAACACACAAAAACAATGCAGTAAACCCACGTTACTTCAGAAACGGTGAAACTATCTGGTTTCCTTTCATTTACTTAGAAATAATGTTAGAACATTTACAACAACCTGTGTATATGTCAAACACTGCCCTCCAAAATCACATACAAGTTTTCCAGGAGGTGATTTTCCCCCCACCACCACTTGCCCAGAATTTTAAAGTTGCACTCTAGACTCTTGTCAAATGGATGTGAAATGGTCACAAGCAGCTAAAAATGTTTCAAGTATGTGCTTCTGTTCCAATCACAAAGGTTCCACTTCAATGTCTGTTTAATGAATATTTAAAGTTGTCAAGAAAATTATTACTAGGTTTTCCCCTGGTTTTCTCATAACAATTTAGATTTCACAATTTCCTTGCTATTTATTATTTGCTGAGCTAAGATCTTCTATGAAAACATTATGAGAGTAACACAATGAATAGAAGAAAGGATGGGGATACAGTGAGGGAGAAGGATACAACTCAAAAGACATTGTGCAATTCGAACTTAGCAGTTAAAACACTGGCTCCAAATGAAGTGGATCTGCCTATCCAGGTCACAGGAGATTTCACTAAATTACTGTGCTTAAATGTGTTTTTCAGGAAAATTCAAAATCAGCCATTATCAAATAGCATAATGCCAGGCTACAAAAGCACAGCTTTATCTGCTCTGCTGATGTCTTTTGCCAAAATTTGGATCAGAATCTAACACAGGGCTACAAGCCCAACAAAAATTCCACTAGAAGTCTTCAGCATTTCTCCCAATTTGTCTGTATCTTCTGAAAATACTGGATTAGTATTTGAAACAAGATCTTCCTTCCTGATACGCTCCATGGCACTGCTCAACTTCAGCAGCTACCAGCACACAACTCTCAACATTTATACATTACATGAGTTTGCAATAACATCTGTGCAAGCAGCTTTCAAAGGAAAAGCACTACTGCTGCTCTACTAACCAAGGCAGTAATAAGAATCAGAAAACCAATTCATATTACGGAAAACTTTGCTCTATTTTACAGAATTTATTTGAACAGATAAAAGACAAATCATCAAGTGGCTGTTACTGTGAACAGCTGACTAGATTCTTCAAAGAGATTGTGCTTTCCTCCATAAAATAAATCTTACCCATGCATTAGCTCTTTGAAGAGTAAAGAATGGCAAAGGAGGAGAGGAACCACAAAAGCATCAGTAGGGAGGATGCAATACAAGAGAAGACATAAATCAGTCTTGTTTTTGTTTTTCAACCCAAGTCTCTCAAAACTGTTAATACTACAGGGATTTTGCAGGGATCACATATTACACCCCTGACAGTCAACATCAAACAAATAATGAATCACTGACACAACACACCACATTGTAAGTGTAAAACAGTCCAAGGGTCTTAAACCACACAGTTGATGAACAGCAACTTTAACTATCCATGAAATACAGTTTTCTTTCAGAAATCTACCACTTGGGTTGTTTTGTTGCCATTAGAAAACATATAAAAGTTAATGAGAAAAGCCGAGACACTCAACATACAGCAGCGAAGGCACTGAAAATGCAACAACTTGTATCACTTTACTAATCACTTCAGGAACATTAATGCTTTGTCTCTGTTTTGTTTCAGGTCCTGCAATGTCACAATATCTCTACCTTGGCTACCCTGGGTTTTGTTTTGTTTTCGCTAATCTCTTCCCCATCCCATTGGGAGACAGGGAGAGAGTGAGTGAAGGACTGCATGATGCTAAGCTACCTGCTCACCACGGTAAGCAAGCATTTTTTCATTCTATTTTGCTTATTTTAATAAAAGAGTATGTTTATTCAGAAAAAACTTCCCTGTGCTTATTAAGTTTTAAACAAACAGCAACAAAAAATAGACAATTTATAGAGAACCACTGCAGACAGTTCTGAAAGCCAATGTTACACTAGCCCTAGTGCCAAAATCCTGTGACAAATTTAATTAGCTTATTAAGCACTCAGCTGAGTCCACTCTGCAGAACCATGCACACAAAAGAAAAACAACTCAAGACAATCACTGTAACTTTAATTGAAGCAATTTGTTCCGATGAGCAAGCCTGTTTTCTTTTCAGCTCTTTTATATTTAAGCTACAACTTTCTACAGGAGATAATTAAGGCTGAAGTAGTTCTTAAACTCATTTACACTACAGTTATGCTTCTTCTACAACTTCCAAGCCCTTCTACTTTTGTTTTCATCAAATGATTCAATGGCTTGGCTTGAAAGGACTTCCAAGACCACCAGCACATACAGGTCCAACTCACTGGCATGGGTAGGGCTGCCCCAAGCCCCATCAAACCTGGCCTTGAGCACCTCCAGGGACAGAGCACCCACAGCTTTTCTGGGTAGCCTGGGCCCATGCCTCACCACTCTCTGAGGAATTATATAGAAGAGATATCTAGACCTCTGGAAAGCTCTCCTGCAATGAGTAAAGGAATTTTCTTTTCCCACTTCCCATGAAGGAAACAGCACTGCAGTTTATTTCCATGAGTCGTTACCCTCCTTACGACAAATACATCATAACCTTTCTCATCTCAGCTGGAGAACTGATAGAACACAAGCAAGTACTGCTTATCATATAAATGTAATTTAGGCACTTACTTTAAATTTTAGGGTTTCCCAATACTGTAAACAGCAGTCTAACAAAAAATTTAAAAAGATGACAGAGCTAGGAGATAATTTCAAATACAATTTTGTGAGCTAGATTATCTCACAAAGAGTACTTTGTCATTACTGTCTATCCAACAGCTGTGCACAACTCAGTTTCAGAAAACCAAAAGGACTGATATATCAATTTCATAGCAAAGATTAATTACCCTAATTAAATGTGCCAGCCACTTCAAGGATGCTTCAAGTCTCATGCTCTACATTACACTTAATTATTTCCCGATTCATCTAGGTGGTGATTATCCACCTAGATAAGCTTTAACTGGCCAAAGACCATCTTGTGTTGAAGAATCTTAATTCTAGCAGATTATTTCTGACCTGCAATCTGAATTCCTTTTATTTAAAGCACAAGCCACAACGTGCAACATCCATACCGTCTTCCCCATCTGTACTCCCTTCAAAAACCTTATAAACCTCATTGTCCAAATTGTAATGTAGTTCTGCATTCCTTACATCAATTCTCTAGCCCTCAACTTGAAATGACAAGAATCTCTTGGAATTTGCTTTCCTTATTTGCACCTACAGAGGTATATGGAACCAAGTTCTGCATGATTAGAGTTAACATGCCAGCACAGATATACTTGTGCACTTTTTGTTTGCTGGATCACTAAATCAAAGTAATTGAAAGTCCACATATTCATTTTTATGCACAGATATAGCAGACACTTTTAAAATATGAAATCCATCTCCAGAAAGGGAAATAAGAGAAAGTAAGAAGAAAAAGAGAAAGAAAAGTAGATATATGGATGCACGTGGAGAAACCCTAGCAAAAAGTCTA